TGCTATCGTTAGCTACCACAGACTTGACCCTAAAGATACTACAGATTAAAATCAGTCTTTTTTTTTTCTGTATAAGCCTGTCTATTTTAAAAAAACTGCCTTTTTATTTGTAATGCAGCTTTGCAGCAAAGCCTGGTCAATATTGTCCAGAGATGAACTGTTTATGCAGTCCATCTTAAACTTACTGTTCATATCATCTGAATCTTTCAGACATTGTTGAAGGTTTGGGTGGTTTAGTCTAGCATTTTATGATGCTATTTACGAAGAGTAACTAGACTTGAGCTACAACCTTATTTAATGTAATTGACACTCTGAACAAAATGTAAGGAACACATGTGCAAAAGCAATTTTTACGCTCACTTCAGGTTGGTTTTAGCTTTTTGAGTAAAAGGATTGATGCTTGAAATGGGAAATGGAAATATTTTTTCCACTCTGAAGTAGTCAACCTTGACCCTACATCACTGATCAGCCGTTTTCGCTCATGGTGCCCTTTGGTGCCTAAAAACACCTTAAATTTAACAAATACCGATGAGTGATGCTCCTGCAGATGCTCCTCATCTTCTTCCATTAACCAAAGTATTCTCTGATGTTTAGAGCGCAGCTATGTGCACGTCATGCCGTTGTCTGAAAGGGCCAAAGATGAGGAAATTTCGAGGTTCTCCCATCCTACTAGTGAGCCTTATAGGTACTGTGAAACTGGGCCGAGCTACCATTATGAAAAGTGATTTATTAATAAAAAAAAAAATCTAAAATCATCTAGATTAAACATGTTTTTATTTTACACAGATTCTGGTGATTTATTTATTTATATATGGGTCATTTCTGAGATGATGCGATCATATAACAGGAGCTGGAAGGAAGTGATGCTGTTGGCTGACTCACCCCGTTTCTCTGAACGATGAGGCCATGCATCTCTCATCTCCGTTCTGATGACCTGCATATGGGTGTAGCTACCACAGAGATCACAGCACTTGTAGCCAGATGAGATGGACAGGATTACTGTCCCTTTTAACAGACTGGTCATTGATGAACCATCCCTGTGTTCTTATATGGGGGGAAAAAAACCTTTTTTTTTTACATAGCTGAGGGGAATAAAAGCAGTTATTGTTTCCACTGTTTTATCTCTTTTGTGTTTGTCATCTCTGTTCACATCTATTTATCTGATTCTTTTCACTGCTCATCTGTTACTATGGAAACCAGCTAGAAAGCTCTCCTTCCGTTGCCATCAGTAAACCTGTGTCTCTGTTTTCCTGTTTTTATTATGAAAGTCCTGTCTTTTAGAAAAAAACAAAAAAACATTCTTGATAGATGTATCTAAACTCCATTCAGGGTGAACAGTGTGTTTAATGAGTGGTGGGCTCCACCATGTCACTGTCGATGCTTTTCTGCTTTTATTGTGCAATGCTTTTAGCATCATAGGTGGGTGTGCTAACGTATTTGTGCTTTGTTGTTTTGAACATAATGTAGAACATGTAATATTCTCCGACATCTACCTGCCATAAAATGTTGATTAAATGTAATATGAAATTTGTCCTAAATGTTTGCATCAAGTTTGACATGAAGCTGCTGTAAGCTTTTTTTCAGATCTCTATTTTCACCTCCAGAAACAAGACAAAAAACAAAAACAAATAAGCTTTGAGCATCAGTTTCCTTCATGCATTTAAATACTTTTTACCCAAAGCCCTTCTTGTCAGCGGTTTTGGTGTCATTTTTTTTCATGTTTCTTGGAAGCAGGCTGTAGATAACCTCCCGCTAACCTTGAGCTGTAACGAGGCCTGCTCCTGTTGTCATGGGAATTCAGGTAGTAGTAAGAAGAAAGGGTTTTTTGATGCTTAACGCTGCCTGGGAGGGCACAGGGGGCACAGGCTGGGCTGACAGATTGTGGTCCCCCACCCCCTTCATACTGGCACCTTAAAGCATTGCTTCTCTGACAGCTTGTCTGGTAATTCTGGCATTAATGTTTGCAGGAAACACGGGGGGAGAATGAAAATGTTGGGTAACCAATGAAAAAAAATCAATTATTCTTTGCTACCTTCTAACTCCATTGTCCTTCCATTTGGGTATATATATATATATATATA